GGCAGCCTGCGGCCCCACGCTGCGTGCGGTTCCCAGCTGGGAGGGGTGATTCTCGCTGCTCGGGGTGCGCTGCCTCTGTAACAGCTCGCCACAGGACAGAGCCCGACGTTTTATCAGGTATTAAAGCCTATGCATCTTCGTTTTCAATCCAGTGACACCCTCAATTACTGAGTGACTAGTGATCTCTCAGTGTGACACCAGTGATATGATTGTTACTGTGGGGGATTGAAGGGGGTGGCCCAGCGGCCGTCAGGATATGGTCCCTGCCCCATTATAATCAGCCTCATTTGGGAAATTAGTCAACATGAAAATTCTCAGGTTACATCCCAACCCCCTGCATCAGAAACTCTGTGGGTGGATCTTAGACCTTTGTGTCTGAACAAGTCTGTCCAGTGTTCTGGTGCACACTCCGGTGTGAGAACCCCTGATCTAGACAGGGGCTCCTAACTCCAGCTGCCCTTTAGAATTGCTCTTTCCAAATAGCAGAAGTAGGGTCTTACCACCGACCCATTGAATCGCAGTCTCTGGGTTTGAGACCCAACCAGTGGGAGTTTTTAAAACTCCCCAAAGACTTTCTGATGAGCAGCCAAGGTTGATCTAGATGCTTGCTTTGGGTATAATCATGGTATAGTTATGGGTGTAAGCAGCTCTAATGAAAAGCAAACCGACAGCATTTAAAATAAAGGTACTAGCCCTGGCCGGTTTGGCTCAGTGGTTAGAGCATCGGCCCATGGACCAAAGAGTCCCAGGTTCGGTTCCCACTAAGACCACGTACCTCGGTTGCAGTTTGTCCCCGGCCCCAGTTGGGGTCATGTGAGTGGCAACCATTCATTGTGTCTCTCTTCCTCCCTCTCTCCATCCCGCTCTGTCTGAAGACAAATGCAAAAATGTCCTCGGGTGAGGATAAAAAAATAAAAAAATAAAATAAAATAAAGGCACTAAGCAAAAGTGCTGTGGGTAAGTAAGGAGCAATCTGTAAATAATGCCAGACGCTGTAACAGATAAAGGTCTAAAGCACTGGTTTGGTAACCAAACTTCTTTCTGGCTCCTGTATGAGCCCCACGCAGATCTGCAGGTCTCGGCTTCATGCGGTCACTCAGGAGAACCAAGCTCCTTCCGTCTTGGCTTCAAGCTCTCGGAGTCTTCCCCGTTCAGCTGGAGGGTGAGGGGAGACAGCAAGGACCGCAGGTCGTGTGGCTCCACCCAATGTCAGGAGAAGGTGCGAACCCAAAAAAGGAGAAACTGAGCGGGCTTTAGCAGGCCACCCTGATACATTATATGTGATTTCTTTCAAGTGACTGTCAACGCACATTTGAACAAATGAACTCCAAGTGTGTTGGAAATACATGGACTTTGCATTCTCATTAATAATAAATGGAGTCACCACGCTTTTCAAAAGGAAGGCAAATGAAGTAGTTTAGTAGTTGGATATCCAAGTTGGATGACTTGGATACAGAGAAAGCATGACTGTCTGGGGGACCTAGTGAAAACAGCAGGTGTTGAGGAGCAAGTGACAATAAAGGAAAGGAGGAGGAGGAGGAGACGGTGCAATTTTGCGGAAGTCATGGAGAAAGTAATTTTACAAGTCTAAATATAACAGAGGTGTTTAAGACAGGACACTACCTGACAAATTCGTGTGTAAATGTTTCCATGTACACACTGATGTTTTTTCCATCCAGCCCACTGGGGGGGGGGGGGGATGGGCTGTTTCTCAGCTATGATGGTCACTTGGCTCCAGAACCTGCCGGAGGGTCTGCATGAGCTGCCTTCTGGGTCACGTAGAGGTAAGTGCAGGGCAGCCGTGATGGGCTGCGGGTGGGTTAGGAAAAGGCAGCGGTTCCGTGAGAGGCAGGCAGAGTTGTTTACAAAGCTCACGCACTCTGGCTTTGAGTATTTCAGGCAAACCAATTTTAAAAGCTGACTGTTTCTAAGATGTGTCAACGGAGGTTTCAAAAGTGGCTCAGGATGTTGGTTCCTAGATCTAAGGTAGGTTAGCTGCATCTGGAACCAGAACTCAAAGGGTTCTTTTGTCATTGATTCAAGAAAAGCACACAGGGTGTGGAATGTTTCCCAGGAATTGTCACACTCTGGGGACGCTCTCGTGATCACACACCACGTGCAGATAGAGCCTAGCTTCCCTAAAATAGCAGTCTCGTAGGGACTGTATACATGTGTCGGGCTCTTACAAAGCAGTGTGATAAGTCCTTTGTGGGATCTTAGAAAGCACCCAAGGTAGCACTGACTTAGTCCTTGGAGGAAAGCCTGTATTAGTTATCATTGTGCTTCTCTACAAATAGCCGATCCCACCTCACCGTAACCTCTCCCCAGGGGTAACAACTAGGAAATTTCATATTTCTAGAAGTAGGCAGTTCAGCAGTTAGACAGCTCAGAGGCCTTTTCTCAGTCATCCTTAGCAGGTGGATCTTGTCCTCATGGTTGCAAAATGGCTGCTAAATGTCCAGGCATCAATCCTATCTCCTAGGCAGTAAGAAGAGGAAACACGGATGGCAAAAGGCCAGATGACCCTATTGGAGGTTTTCCAGAGTGTCATTCCAGTGCCGCCTTATCTCGTTGGCCTCAACTGTCCCATGAGTACTCTAGATGCCAGGAGGGTGAGAAACATCAGTCTTGGCTCTAAACTCTGCCAGCTCAGACTGAACTGGACTTCTCTCAGTCGGAAAGGCGACCAGTGGCAACAGGGGAGGCAATCACGACAGTTGGTCCCAGGGGTCAGGGTCGATGGAGGAAGTGAGAGCTGACTCCTCAACCCTGCACCGTTACCCCAATGGTTCCCTCTGTAGCTCGTGACCGAGTCTCACTCTGATCACAAGGCTGGAGCAGGTTACAGGGACACAGTGAAGCCTGAAATCATTCCCCCGACTCTCACCACTTCAGGCAGAAGGCCCTCCAAGCATGCTAGAGGTGCTCAGTGTTGGGGTGCAACAGGAGCCCCACACATTCTCTGCCCCTCCCCCGACCTCACATTTAGAGTAGGGATCAGAAAGCACCACCATTCCCAGTGAAAGCCCTTTAATGTTGTTTTCGCACATCGATTTAACTCCTCTGAGCAAACTGCAAGGGAGAGCGAGTGTGTGGTGTGACGTGGATAAGGACGGAGGAGCCCAGAGAGGGTTGAAACTTGCCCAAGGCCAGTCTGCTGGTTAAGGGCAAGGACTGGACGAGGATCCTGGGCTTCTGCTTCCCAGACCAGTGCTCGCTCCTCTCCGGGGCCATGTACCACCCTGGCGTGGATACCTGAGAGCTGCCTGTGTTGAGCAGGACAGAGTGGAAAGCCTCCCTCGGGTGGAGGGAGGAATGGAGAGGCGGCACGTGCTAGGGTTGCAGGCCCTGGTGCAGTCAGACTTGCTCTCCACCAGGTCTGACTGGCCCCCTGCCCTGCTCTCATCCAGTTCTTGCAACGGGAAAGAGTGGTGGTTTCCCCACAGTCAGAGGCTTCAGAAAGGAGTTCCCGTCTTCGCCTGCTGGGATGCACCTCTCTGGCCTGGTTCATCCCCTCCTCTCAGTCAGGCCCGGCTGGTTCCTTTCCCTCTGTGCAGGGCTTGGGAAGGCTGGCCTGGTTCCTGTTCCTTCTCGCTCTCAGTTCCTGCTGGGCCTTCTTGGCCATTAGCTGCATGTCCCTTGGTTCAAGATGGAGCTGCTTGGAACCACCTCCGCGGGGCGAGGCCCTGGCCATGCCCTGAACTTTCGCTTTTCCTTCACTCCTCCCAGCTGCAGCATCCACAGAGCTTTCCTCCTCCTGCTCAGCCTGGCAGCTGTGGCCTCGACATGGATGCCCAAAGGGACGTTCATGCTCCCTGCGTGCACCAGCACCTGGGCACTGAGCTCAGGCACCAGGCTGGGTCTTCACGGAGGCTCGTGGTGGGGTCTGAGTGGACCGGGATGCTGCGCTGGGCCTTTCCACCGCTGTTCCTGCAGCTGCAGTGCTCTTCCGGCTCCTGCCAAGGCCAGCGTGTGATTCGGTTTCTCACTCCTTTGGCAGGTCTTTCCCGACCCATGCCCCCCCCACCACCACCACTTGCTCACCAGAGCTGGGAGGGTCTGTCCCCACCGCCCACAGCTCCAATGTACGTGTCTGCTTACACGACTCTCTCTTCCCTCCCCTGACTGTGAGACCCTTGCGTTCTCTAGGGCTACAGCAGTGCACTTAGCAGGCCCTCAGTACAGACTGGGTGAATCAAGGATGCACTATGGCGCAGAACATTGCAGACGCATGTGGAAAAGCTTGGGTCACACTCTTGAAGTACCTTAAGCTCGGGTACTTGCTGAGAGGGAGAGAAGTAATAGTGGCCCCTGTGTGTTGAGCAAGTAATCTATGCCAGGCACTACTGAAGGCTTTTTGTATGTATTATCTCACTGAATTCTCACAACAGCCCTATATGGTCTGTGCCCTCTTCATTTTGTTCCTCAGAAAACAGGCACAGAAATGTTAAGCAACGTGCCCGAAGTCCTATAGACAGGAAGTGGTGAAGGAGTTTCAACTGCAAGGTGCAAGCTACTAACCCCTGACCATGCAGGGTGCATCTTTAGTGCCAGCGTCCCACCCTCCCAGCCACACAGGAGCCTGTGTATAGCATGGGCAAGACATTGTCACAGGGATCAAGTAGACAAAAGGGCAAGACACTGCCTGCCCCAACTCTCAACATCCACCCTCGTCCAAATGCTGATGCAGGCGTGAGAGGCTGGCAGTGCTGCGGAGGGAGCTGGGAGACTTCCGTGGAAAAGGGGTGTGCTCAGCAGCCTGGGCGGACACAGAGGAGCGGGTTCCGCACCCCTGGCTGAAGAACCTGGGCAGACAGACTGGCCACCAGCTACCCAACCACCCGAGGAGAAAGGTGACTTCTCTAGTCATCAAGAGAATAGATCGTAATAAGACTGGCATGTCTTATGCTCTGGCGTGTCTCTCCTACTCTGAGAGCTAGGAACTAGAAGCCACCCAGGGAAGGCGTGTTGTCACCCACAAATATCTCCTCTCCTTTCAGATGCCTCCACGGCCTCTGAAATGCCACCGTTTGTGAGAGATGTGGAAACAGGATCCCTTCCTCTTCCTTCAAGATAAGCAGCGTTTAGTTACACAACTATGGGACTTGACAGCCGGCTAGAAGCATCCAGGCTCCTTATCACAGCTCCATCTCCCGGGGTGTCTATGAAGCACGCAGGCCCCGCCACGTAGATGTCTACGCACCCAAGTGCCAAGGCTTTGGACCAACTGAGAAACCCTGGGTGACTGCCTCAGCTTTCTTTGCCCGTAAGCGGGGTGATGACAGTACCTGCCTCGCAGAACTGCTGTGACCCGATACGTGACCGATATGATTGGCACAGTGCCCGGCACATGACGAGTGGTAGGTAAACGTTAGCTGTCACTATTCCCCCATTTCACAGGGGAGGGAAACTGAGGCTCAGAGGGGTGAACCGACCTTCCCTGGGTCACAGAACCAGTTGGTGGCAGAAGGAAGATCCAACCTTGTAAGTGATCTTCCAACTTGGAGCTGGATGATCCACAGTGAGGAGGGATCCCCCTCATTCACCATCCCCCCAAACGGCACTACTTCTTGCCATTTAGACAGGACAAAAAGACAGCCGGTGGGCAGGGTTTAAAAGATGATGAGAAGGGAGCCCTGGCCGGTTTGGCTCAGCGGTTGGAGGGTCGGCCTGCGGTACAGAGAGACCCTGGTTCGGTTCCCGCTAAGGGCACGTACCTCGGTTGCAGTTTGTCCCCGGCCCTGGTTGGTCGTGCGGGTGGCAACCACTCGATGTGTCCCTTCACGTCGATGTTTCTCTCTCTCTCTCTCTCTCTCTTCCTCTCTCTCCCTCCCGCTCTGTCTGAACAAAAAATGCAAAAATGTCCTCGGGTGAGGATAAAAAAAAAAAAAGATGATGAGAAGGGAGAGTATGTTAACCTCCTGCCACGTAGCAGCCCATTCGACGGGGCCGGCAGACTTTCCCTTGCAGAGGGCCAGAGAGTAAATATTTCAGTCCTTGGGGGCCATCTGGGCTCTCTCACAGCCGCGCCATCTGTTGTGCAAAGACAGCCTTAGGGAGTTCGTGAGTAAAAGGGCATGGCTCTGCTCCACTAACGCTGTATTTACAGACACGGAAACTTGCACTTCATTTCGTTTTTCTGTTTTGTGAAATGTTACTCTTCTTTTTACTTTCGTCAGCCATTTCAAAATGTAAAGACCCTTCTTGGCTTGAGAAGCATATGAAACCTAGCGGCCTGCCAGGCACCGCAGGGCGCTAGTCTGCCGACCCCAGATGGAGGGGGATAGAGTCAATGACTCCTACCAGCACAGCTGACCCTCAGGAGGAAGCTGAGGCTCGGGGGGCCCCATAGCCGGCTGGGAGACCGGCTACTGGGCAGCAGCGCTGGGATTCGGTTCTTCTGCTCTGCCCAACTGCTCCACGATACCCTCGGGGCTGGGTGTTTGGGTCCCTCTGCATTTGTCACCACGTGTGAAGATATAAGATCCACCCTTATGGGACAGGGTAAGCTGTCCAATGGGGATGCCCCTTGAATGTGGGATGGCATTTCATCTGGGCACTGGGCACGTACCATTGTCCTAACTTAGTGTGTGGCATGGGGCAATGGTTCTGTCTGCACAACCCCTTCTGAGCTCCGTGGCCATGGCGACAAGACCTACCACTCCCAGAGTTGTACTCAGCAAGAAGAAGGCTGGTAGGCCCACATGGCAGACGGCCCTCATGGGGTGACCCAGAAAGGTGGCTTGGTCTCAAGGACGTTGGCATCAAAGTGGGCAAGTAGCAACAAAAAGGGCAGGAGATGTGCATGTCTGAAAGATAAACTGGGCCATGAGATTTCCTGGAGGTGCGGCCTGGGGCTGGGAGGGTTCCCCGAAGGGCCATCTGGCCTTTCGGTTGCTCTTCCCCACTCTCCACGCACCGGACCTCGCTGGCCTCTGCCTCAGACTCAGACAGGCTCAGCGGAGCCAGCTGCAGGCGGCCTGGCGGCTGGCACCTGGCCTTGGTCCCGGGTGCACTGGAGGCTCAGGAGCACCCGAGCCCACGCTGCTGCTCCCAGGCGGCAGCAGAGCCGCAGCGTGACTGCCTGTCCTCAGGTCTGAGCTCGTCCCGGCTTCACCGGGAAGAAAACGCCCTGCCTGGTGCAAGGGCTGCGTCTGTGCTGGGAGCTTCGGCAACCAAGCCCGAAGGAGGGAGGGTGCTGCGACCCTGACCCTGGTCTGTCATTGTGTATCCTTTCAACATGGTTGCCACAAAACGAAATAGTCTCAAAGTACGGCATTGAGAAATTGTGGATAAGACAAAAGAAGAGACAAAGGGACACCTGTCTCCTAGAAGTATGTTTTACTTTTCCTTCCTGTCATTTTTCTGTGTGCGCACGTGTGTGTGCTCATCCAAATGGGACCACGGGGTGAATTCTGTTGGGGAATCTGTTCCTTCTTCATTGCACGCAGTGAGTGAGCATGCCCCCGTGTCTTTGCCATCACTGTTGCCCATGATCTGTTTTGGACAAGTCTTTCAAAGTTGTGCAGCCCTTGGATTCGGTCGCAGCCCCCACCCCCACCCTCCGGCTCCCAGAATCCAGCCCTTTTTAGGTAAGAGTCCTGGGGTGGGCTCTGTGACTCTGAGTAATGGAAAAGCCCCAGGCTGGCTGGTCGCAGCCAGGGTTCCTGCCCCAGCCTCGCCCTGACTCACAGGGCCATCTTAAATTAGTCACGTCAACCCTCTGGGCCTCAGTTTCTTTACCTATAAAACGGGATGGTTAGATTAAGGGCTTTGTCATCCCTAATGTTCCATGACTAAGCACTCATCGACTCACGGGATCCCGGAAGCCTCCGGAAATGTTTGCTGCCAAGAGGAAGTTGCTGGTGCCCTGGCTCTAGGCTAGCCGAGCTGGGGGTCTCCGACTGGAAGGCCTGAAAACCCCTCGGGGTAGCCAGTACCCCGTGCTGTGTTCCCAGGGCTCCCCAGGGTGCCGCGGTTCTCTGGACTTGCTGCTCCCCACCCGTGTGGAGCGGGAAGCAGCCAGCTCTGACCTCACGGCTCCACCACTCCTCAGTCAGAGTATTAATAGCTGGAACCAGCTGCCAACAGCTGCCGGTTACATTCTGAAATGGAAACCATGTGACTGGGCAGAAGCAGGGCTGGGCCAGCGCTGGGGCCACAAGGCAGGATCTGGGAGGGATTCAGGGGGAGCGTCCTTGGTGGGCAGACAGACCTTCACCTCGCTTTTCCTATCACCGGCCCAACCCCCTCCTCGTCTACCTCCTCTGCTCCTGGACAGCAGCTGGCCTGCATCTGTCTGGTGCGAAGAGATGCTGCCTTGAAGCCTGGAAGCCAAAGCAGCTGCTGTTTGGAGGCTTCAAAGGGGCAGGAACATTATGAAACATAAGCAGCAGAGAATCCCTCTCCCGGAGGCTTGGACCGTTTGCCTTCCACATTCTCTTGTCGACATGATGACAATAATCACAGTAATGGTGCTGTCGTGGAGTAAGTGCTTGGTATAAGCGAGGCAATGGGTCGAGTGTTTCCCTTGCTTCATCCTATTCAGTTCTGGTTAGTGGCTCCCCAGAGGGAGGGCCTGCTATTACTGTCCCCGTTTTACAGATGAGGACATTGAAGCTCAGAGGATAAGCAGTTCGCCCCGGGCGCCCCAGCTCATGAGCTGCCGGGCTGCGCTGGACAGTCTGACCTGAGCTTGTTCTCTTTCGTGCCCACCCCCTTGAATTCCATGCCTTGGTTGGACAGGGTCCTCCCACGGTAGTTTCCACCTTTTCCTGTATGCAGAGACTCCCACAACAAGACTCCATTTCTTGGACCTCTTGCATGCAAGCGCTGTCACGTGATGAGCTCTTGTCTGCAGAATGTGAGTGGCAATACGAATGCCACTTCCAAGCCTGGCCCTTAGAATGGCCCGTGTGGTTTTTCCCTGCCCTCTCTTTCGACTTGCTGTCTGGCCAAATGCAGAGGAACCAGGGAAGGATCTGAGGGGGCCTTAGGGCATGGCAAAGCCACCAGATGGAAGAAACCTAGATCCCCGAGTCACTGCTTGGAGGGGGAGTGCCCAGGAATGCTGCTTGACCAAAAACATCTGCACTGAAACCCATACAAGAAAGAAATTAAGTTCTACTGTGTTAAGCCACTAAAATGTTGAGGCTGTTTGCTAGTTAGTCAACCCGGCCTAATGTGGGTGGGAAAGAGAGGGCTTAGCAGAATCTCCAGGAATAGGTGCTCAGCGGCTCTATCAAGGTGGTCAGCCAGCGGCAGGTGAGAGCCCTTTACCTGACGGCCAGCGGACAGCAGACAGAGGCCCTCAGCACTCGGAAGGTGCAGTGTTCACTAAGCCGGCAAAGGATGGTCTGCTCACTCTCCTCATGTTGACTGCAAACGGCACCTGCAGGGCAGAGGCCCGGCAGCCTCTGGACACTGACTCTACCCCTGTCCTTGGGGCCCTATTTGGTCCTATTACACAACGGTTCTTCTTTTAAGTCCAAAGGCCCTCCTACCTGATAATGCACAACAGAATCTCCTCCCTTCTCTGCCTTTAATTTTGGATAGAAATTACCAAATTGCCAACCATAAAAAATAAGTCCCGTTAACTGTTTATGGGATGGAGGTGAGTGCCTGTGCCACTCTGTACTATCCAGCATTACATAGTATCAGACTTGAATTAAAAAAAAATTAATGTGGTAAAAGATGCACACCTGGCTGGTGTGGCTCAATTGGCTGTGTACCATCCCACGCACTGAGAGGTCATCGGTTCTATTCCCTGTCACAGCACAGGCCCAGGTTTCGGGTTCGATTCCCAGTAGGGGGGCGCGAGGGAAGCAACCAATCGATGTTTCTCTCTCTCTCTTTCTCTAAAATCAGTAAAAAAAACATATTAAAATATTTTTTAAAAGGTGCATAACAAAAACGTTACCATCTTCACCTTTTGTAAGCTGCAGTTCAGTGGCATTGCTGTGAAACCCTCACAACCGCCCTTGTCCAGAACGTTTCCATCTCGGGAAACTTAAACTCTTTGCCCACTAAACAGCAGCTCCCCATCCCCTCCCTCCAGGCCCTGGAAACCACCCCTCTAGTGTTTGTGTCTATGAACTCAAGGACTCTAGATGCCTCAGACAAGTGGAATCACACAATATTTGTCTTTTTGTGACCAGCCTGTTTCACTCAGCATGTGGTCCTCCAGGTTCATTCATTTGTCAGTGTTTCTTTCTTTTTAAGGCTCAATAATGTTGCATTGTACATATACCACGTGCTGCTTCTCCATTCATCCCCCAGTGGACACTGGGCTGCCTCCACCTTTCAGCTACTGTGAAGAATCGTGCTACGAACAGGGCAATGCAAACACCTCGTCGTGATCCTGCTTTTAGTTCTTTTGCCTGTATATCCGGAAGTGGGATTAATAGATCACACGGTGATTCTATGTACATTTTTTTGAGGAACCACCATACAGTTTTCCATAAAGACTGCATCGTTTTACCTTTCCACCAACAGGGCACAAAGTTGTGATGTCTGCACGTCCCTGAAAACAGGTGTTCTAGAAGCCATCCTAACCAACGTGAGGCAGCATCTCACCGCAGTTCTAACCTGCAATTCCCTAATAATTCGTGACATCGAACATCTTTCTACACATTTGTTATTTTAACCTACTTGCGTTTTTGATTTACAC